CTCACTTGGTAGCCCAGGCTGGCCTCGAACTCACAGAGATCCGCCTGGCTCTGCCTCCCGAGTGCTGGGATTAAAGGCGTGCGCCACCACCGCCCGGCTGTTTATTTTTTTTATTTTTATTTTTTTAAAGATTTATTTATTATGTATACAGCATGTATGACTGCAGGCCAGAAGAGGGCACCAGATCTCATTACAGATGATTATGAGCCACCATGTGGTTGCTGGGAATTGAACTCAGGACCTCTGGAAGAGCAGTCAGTGCTCTTAACCACTGAGCCATCTCTCCAGCCCCTGTTTATTTATTTATTTTTTTGGTTTTTCGAGACAGGGTTTCTCTGCGTAGCTTTGTGCCTTTCCTGGAACTCACTCTGTAGCCCAGGCTGGCCTCGAACTCACAGAGATCCGACTGCCTCTGCCTCCCGAGTGCTGGGATTAAAGGCATGCGCCACCATCGCCCGGCCTGTTTATTTATTTATTTACTTACTTACTTATAGTGTGTGTGTGTGAACACATAAGTGCAGGACAGAGACACACTTGTAGGAGTCAGTTCTCTCCTTTCCCGGCATAGGTCCCTGGGTGGATCAAGCTCAGGGCGTCAGCCTTGGTGGCCAGCCTTTACCCACTGAGCCATCCTGTCAGCCCCTGACTTGTTTACTTTGGTTGTTGTTTTGTTTTTAAGACAGAGACCTAGGGCTCACCCATTCAGCTAGTCTGGCCAGTGAGCCCCTCCCCTCCCGCCTCTGCCTCCCCAGCTCTGGGATTACCAACTTGTGCTGATATATGAGTTCTACAGACTAAGCTCAGGTCTTGTGACGGGCTGGTAGCCTCTTTACTTATGGAAGTAGCTCCCTAGCCACTTTCCACAGATTTCTATCATATGGCAGAGGCCGGACGATCTCAAGTTCAAGACCAGCAAGTTAGCCAGGTGATGGTGGTGGCACACACCTTTAATCCCAGCACTTAGGAGGCAGAGGCAGGCAGATCTCTGAGTTCAAGGCCAGCCTGGGCTACAGAGTGAGTTGCAAGACAGTCAGGATTACACAAATAAAACTTGTCTCAGAAAAACAAAATAAAAAAAAGACCAGCAAGCTCCAGGCCAGGGCTATGCAGTGAAGCCTTGTCTCAAAAACAAAATAATAATAATAATAATAATAATAATAATAATAATACATGAAAAAAAAAGAGGATATGTGATCCTTGATGCTGGTAAGAATTCTTGGCGGGACTCCTTCTTAGGAAGCAGAAGGCAGGTTGTGGCAATGGAGCGGCTGCTTAGGGGATCTTGACTCCCGTGTCTGCTTCCTTTATACATATTTTAGATGTACCACACGCTAATGTGTCAGTCACTACAGAGTCACCATGAGATTCTCAGTCCTGGCTCACAAAGGCATACATCATACATTCCCCTTTTCCTTTTCTTCCTTTTTTTTTTTTTTT